CAAAGTTAGCGTGGGCTCTTTTGTATTCCGAATTATAATAGATGCTTCATCTACACATTGTTCCACTTGGTACTTCTCTTCTGTAAGTTTCTGAAAATCATCAAAATTTCAAAAATATGCAATTAGACTAATAAAATCTGAAAAAGTGAATGTATTCACTAACTTTTCAAATGTTGTTAACTATTGGAAGTACTGAGCCAAAAGACGAAATAAAACCTATAACTAGTTCTTTAGAGATAACTTCTCTATCTCAATTTATAAGCAAATCTCTTAATCCCTCAAAAACCAATCAATACACAATGTCAGTCATCCGTACAATTATGAATATTTAAAGCCATTCTAATATTTAAAGGAAAATGTTAACACCACTATTATAAGATAAAGGGTAAATTATCGTTCTTGAAATTGTTTCAGATAACTACTGTAATATAATAAATATTTGGGAAGTCCTAAAAAGGACCTCCTATTTACCAAGGACTCATGACTGTAAGACTATGTAGCTTTCCAAAGCTAACTGAGCAAAATGAAAAAGGGATCTCTGCATTTACCCACAAATGAACATAGACAAGTTGTACACTTCTTTTATGACAACTCTTGTGATAGCCACAACAAAACTTAACTTTGCTTCTTTTAACATACTACTAAAAAAATCATTTAGTATCTTCCACAAATTAATCATCCTATCAACATCACGTAAATTATACTTAATATTTTTCCATACATTAAATGTATAATGTTATAGTAAGTCACACAAGGCTTCCTTGTTATTACAATTATAGCACTTGTTACCTGATATACAAGAGCCAGGTGGAATGGAAACACAAAGTCTTTACTCAACACTGTGTATTAAAAGAACACAGACAGGGCCAGCCACATAGCTCAGCAGACTAAAGTGCCTACTTAGGCAGGCGCAGCAACCATGGTTGGATCCCCCCACAAGCTGTGTGCCAACCCCGCCCCACGGGCATGCTGAGACAGCCACTGAGAGTGGGCAGGGCAGCACGTGCCTGTAATCCAAGCACTTGGGAGGCTAAAAACAGAACCACTACAAGTCCGATCTGTGTAGTGAGACCCTGTAGTTGCTGTACTAATAACATTTAAAAAAAGAAATGAAAAAACAGCACAGACATTTATACAAAAATAGCTTTGGGGGCTGGTGAGATAGCTCAAGGAACAGCACCACATGTGGTGCTGGCCCCGCCCCCCAGGCACGCTGAGCCAGCCACCAAGTCCAGGCAAGGTGGCGCATACCTGTAATCCCAATACTGGAAAGGCTGAAAACAGGAGGAACACTACAAGTCTGATCTGTGTAGTGAGACTCTGTACCAAATACATTTAAAAAAAAAAAAAAAAGAAAAGAAAAAACACTGGGAGATGGCTCAACAGAATAAGCACTTCCCTGGCAAGCGCAAGGGCCTGAGTTCAATCCCAATTCCACCAAAAAAAAAAAAAAAAAAAGCGTTGGTGGGGTGTCCTTTTTGAGACAGGGTTTTGCTATGCAGTTTACGCTGGTCTTGAACTTATTTCGTTGCCCAGGCTGTGTTCAAATTCTCAGTCATTCCCCTGCCTCAGCCTCCAAAGTTCTGGGATTATAGGTGTGCACAACCATACCAAAAACAGCATTTTACCATTAACCATTTCCCAAAAAATGGGAAAAGAGAAAACTCACTATCAAAATTCTGAATAGAGAATGCCAAAGAAAGGAAAGGCCACACTGTGAATGGAAGAACCAGAACCAAAATATAATGCAACAGCAGAAAATCATCCATATTCCTCTTACCAATAAAATATCACTAAAGATGTTAACTGGGGAACAAGTCAAACTAAATTTTTCAGTTATGCATATATGTAACTGCAGTTAGACACAGCTGAAGTAATGAATACAGTGTAAGTTTTAAACTAATTTTAAATGATTTATGGTTGAAGTCATCGTCTACCTCCTTTGCATCAAAGAAGCTGATCGCCCCAGAATCATGGAGTGAAAAGATACACACTGGCTTCAATTAATTAAGACACTTAGGTAACTGGAGGTTTTGCTATGGAAAATGTTCAGGAAAAATATTTTTAGTTGATAATAAAATAAAACCATATCAGTGATTGCTGTTCTATAGAAATAAGAAAACAAGAGTGGAAGGGTATTATGGTTTATATCTAGTTGTTACCCCAAAGTTTCATATAGTCATAGTTGGAGCTTTGAGGGGTAGCTGGACCTAGAGTATGTGATGCTAAAATTAAAGATATGATGCTGGGATTGATTCATGAGCAATGTTAGGATTAAGGGGACCCCACTTTGTGCTACTGCCCTAACGGGGGGTGCTCTGATGGTATGTAAGGGACAGAAAGAGGGCTGCTATTGTCACTGTTTGTCATTTGTTTCTTCCTTAGTACTCTGGTGCTTTGCTGCCTTCCTTCCTTCATTTTGCTCAGTATGAACTATTTGCCCTCTGTAATGTTTGGCTGGATGTCACCTTGCCTCAGAGCTAGCCAACTGTGGGCTAACCCTCTCTACATGGTGAGGTGAAATAAACCTGCATGCCTTCACTTTGGGGGTTGGGGACTGTGCCTCAGCAAGGAGAAAAGTAACTAAGACAAGGAGAAAATATGGAAGTCACACATGAAGTAATTTCCTAAAATGTGAGTAATAGGGGCTGGTGAGGTGGCTCAGTGGTCTAAAGCACCTACTTAGAACAAGCTTAGCAAAGTACGGGGCCCACGGTTCAATCCCCCAGCACCACATGCCAGCCAGCCCCGCTCCCTGATGGGCTGAGCTGGCCACACACAAATAAATAAAATTTTTAAAAAAAGAAAACAGACTCTCTAGTTCAAGGCCAGCCTGGGCTACAAGTGAGCCCAAGGCCAGCCTGAACTACATGGTAAAACCTTGTCTCAAGGAGAAAAAAATAAATTCACTGAAGGGAACACAAAAGGGTAAGCCAGTTAAAAGTCTCTAATATATTGACCTTGAAATTATTACTTTGTTATAGACATTATAAGTAATGTTCGCTATACTACACTAATGTTCACAATACTACTGTATTTCAATATAGAAATACAGGTTAAATTAAAAAAAAAAATGGAACAGAAAGTTTACTGATATTATTCAAAAAAAGCAGTCAGTCAAAAAATCACTGTTGTAGGCTGGCCTGATAGCTCAGCTGACTAAAGTGCCTGCTTTGGCAGAGACTGCACTGAGACTGTGACTGAGACTGCGACTGAGACTGGGCAAGGTGGCACGCACCTGTAATCCCAGTGCTTTGGGAGGCTGAAAACAGGAGAATCACTAGGAGTCCAATATATGTAGAGACACTGTAGACCCTGTCCTAAAAATGCATTTAAAAAAAAAGTAGAATCACTGTTGTGTGAGCCTTTTTTTTTTTAAATCTATTGGATACAGGGTCTCAGTACGCAATTCAGATTCATAGTAATCCTCCTGTCTCAGCCTGCCCAGTGCTGCAATTACATACTTGTGCCACCAAGCCTGGTTTGAAGGATGGAACAATGTCATCAAGGTTCTGGTGCTGGCACATGGTATCAGGTGGTAGAGGGGCTCAAATTCAGGTCCTTGCACTTGCCAGGTAGGCACTTAGACCACTGAGCTATCTCCCCAGACCTGAGCCTCCTATTTTAAAAAGCTTTACTATATTCCATGTCACTCCCTCAGGGGAGTCACAAGACCAAAAAAGGATGAATAAAAGAGGAAGGGAAGAAGGAGGAAAGCAACACTATGAAAGATAACTATTTCTTTACCAAAACTGAATGCAGAAAAGCTAAATATTTCCTGCCACTTGGAGTACAGTATTTTAAAGTTTAAGACAAAATAGTAAGTCTCTCAAAAATGAATGTAGGGCCAGGGAGATGGCTCAGTAGAATAAATGTGTGCCTGGCAAGCATAAGAGCCCGAGTTCAATCCCTGGTTCTGTAAAAAAAAAAAAAAAAAAAAAAAAAGTACAAGTAATACAAATCTCAGTGTTAAGAATAGTAAATAAGGGGCTGGGGAGATGGCTCAGTGGAATAAATGCTTCTCTGGCGAGCACAAGGGCCTGAGTTCAATCCCCAGTTCCACCCAAAAAATAAATAAATAAATAAAGTAAATAAAATGGATGCAGTATAATCCTAATAGTTGGAGGATGAGGCGAGAGGATCACAAGTTTAAGACCAGCTTTAGCAATTTAGTAAGAGTCTGCCTCAAAATTTAAAAAGGGGCTGGTGACATTGCTCAGTGTGACAACAGTCCTAGGTTCAATCCCCAGTATCACTAAAAGAGAAGAGGGAAATTAGATTTAAAATATCAGAGAGAATTTCAAGTTTACACTGGTGAATACAAAAGAAAATGACCCATTAACTGGTATCACAAAAATTAATTTAGTACTCATTATGTGAAGAAAAAAAAAAGATCCTTTAGAAAGGAAACAAACCAATAAAAGAAACAGGAGCATTCAACAGCTCAAGTTTTGACATCTATTTATATAACAAGAAATGAAATCAACAAATAGCTGTAACCTAATCAGGTTGCCAATAACTCACATCTGAACCTGAAAGGTGATCACAATTGTGTTGCAGTTAACTGGCATTTAGGGTAGACTAACAACACAGATCTCAGGGTGACTATTATCCTACTCTTCAAGCCTTCAGCCCTGAAAAGCCTTTAGAAGCATCTTCCAGGGAGCTCACCAACACTGGAGTACTCTAATGCACCCAGTGTGAAGGAAGTTTGAAAACAAGGAATAGTGACTTTCCACTAACAAAACAGATGGACAACTGTTACATTAGCTGAGTCCTCAACTTTTTAAAAATTATCATCTATAAAAATCTCTTAGTTGCTTAGGCTCTTTTTATTATTTCAATTCTTTGCTGCATTTCACCCTTCCAAGAGTTTTATAATGCTAGTAGTCATATTCTGGAAAAAAATGAACACTCACTTACAAAATACACCTGAAAAATTTAAGACCGTACCTTAATAGCCGTCTTAATTTGTAAGTATACCCTGTGAACTAACCACCAGAACTGTGGTTTAAATGTGACAGATTAATCACTGGTCCATAGCTGTGACATTCCTTTTGTTTGTACCTACCTTATTAACAATTGTTATTAAATTCATCAAGATCACCTATTTTCATCTTTTTACAAATTCTCCTGTGCAAGTAAACTATGATACTTTTTTTTTTTTTCTGGCAGAACCGGGGACTGAAGTCAGGTCCTTATTCTACTGAGCCATCTCCCCAGCCCTGTGCAGTTAAACTGTACTCACCTGAATCTGAATGGGAAGATTATCTTTGACTGTATTTAACAAGGTCTCTGTAGGTTTGTCTTTGCACATTAAAACCAGTTCCAAGTCCATATCATCCTTAATCAGCAAGCCTTTTGCAACCAGGCCAATCCTCATTACACCACACAATGTCCGACCAGCTTGGTCCCTAAAAATGAGAGTCCATATGATTACTTCTACAACCTACTGCCCAAACTATAAACTGCAGTCATCTGTTGATTTCCTGGACATATATATGAATTAAAAAGGGAACAGGTAAATCTAGACATCAAAAACCCTATAGATTAAGTCTCACATGTAACATTAAGCTTCTATCTCCCCTAAAGTTCTTATCAATAGGGAGCATGTTTCAGACTTTTTCAATTGTTTATGTCTACATTGCTTAAGGAACTAAAAATACTGTGTCCCTGTCAATGACTTCCAATTTTTCTTTTTAAACCTTTTTTTAATAATGAAAGACCATATGAGAAACATGGACACCATGATACACTGAGAAAGAACATGAAAATAAAAATCTCAACCACCTGAAACCTACCCCTGGAGGTGACTATCAGCTCACTATCTGCCATCAAAATGGCTACTGGCTGTATGATCTCATGTCCCTCCTTAGCTGTATCACAGAAGGAACTCACAAAACTTATAGGGAAATTGAAGCGTGTAAAAAATGTGATAAAAGCAAACAGCTGAGGAAATAAAAAACATACCAAAGTCTATCAACATCTGCATCTCAAATCCAAGGAATAGGTAAAAGAGCAAAACACTCAACCTCAAATGACAAATGGTGCCAATTAAAAACATTTACCTACCTTTAGTTTTAACTCTAAAAGCTTATTAATTCCTCTTAATCACAAGGGGAAAAATTAATTTTAGCAGTCATTCAACAATAAAGTGTTTAAGTACACAAAGCATTTTAAAGGACAGCTAATCTCTTCTGCTCCCGAGGTTTATTTTACTTTATGGTTAAATAATGAAAGTATTAACAGATTGGGTACCCGGTTTAAAAGAAGATAACATCTGAGAAGAAACTGCTTGACATATAATCTCACACAAAACCTACATTTGGAAGACAAAGAACGTAAAGCTCAGCAAAGCTCACTGCTCAAGTTCACAGAGTAGAACAGCAAAGCTAGGATTCAAACCCATGTTGGACTGACTACAAAATTCAGGTTTTTAAAATGTTATGGTGTGGGCCAGGGATATAGCTCAGTGGCACGATGCCTGTCTGGCAAGTGCAAGGTCCTGAGTTCAATTCTGGATACCAAAAAAAAGTCATGGTAACTTCCAAGTTGGAAAAGAGAAGAAGTTAAAATTAGAGAGGTCAAGCAAGGCAACCTGAGAGGTTAACTTCAGTGGAGAAAGATCCTTCCAACAGGAAGTGAAGAATCAGCAGCTGAGCGAGTCAGTGGAGTTGAGAATGCAATAGAGAAGGGAAAGAAACAAACTGTGGCAGTGGAAACTAGACAGGAAATTATGAATAATCCAGCCAGTGATTCAGTGTTTGTAACACAGATTCATTTAGCATGAAAAGTCAATGAAAAAATATAAAGGTGGTACAAGTACAAAAACAAATGTTTTAACGCAAGTGATCCAAGTATAGGCAATTATTTGATGTAGTCAGGCACTATTCATTTTTTCATTTCTCTACATCCCTGTCCTCTCCTGCCTCTGAATCTAATACTTTATAAATTCCTCCTCTGCCCTCAAAGCTTTGCAACTAGTTTGCTCAAGTTTTTATCATCTCTCAAGACCTACCTCAACAACACCCTCCTTAGTGGCTTGCTGGACCAACCTCTGCCATCTATGGCCTAACGTATGCAGTAAGCAGGAAGAATCTTCCAGAGACCCTGCCATGGGTGGCATGCCACCTATTACTTCCTTGGCATTTCAATGAAGTCATGACACTTAGCATAATGGAAAGTAAATTAGAAGATAGAATGCCTTCCTCTCATTGCTCTGTGAATCCTGGATTAAATACTGGTGCTGCTACTTACTGTGTGACACTGACCAAATTAGGACTACTTGACTTCTTACAGCCTGCTTCCTTATTTGTAAAAGAATGATTCTTTTCTTATAAAGTGGTACTGTGAGTATAATGTAAGTAATGAACCTTACAGGTCCTAACATATATTAATAACTCTATTATTTAATAGCTATTATTTCCTTTTTTTAATTAAAAAAAAAAAAACCTGTATTGTTCTCACACCTGAATCTTTGCTAAGATTTTTTTCCCCTTCCATAATTTGCCAAAACCCTGTCCATTCTCTAGGCTTATTCCAAATGCTACCACTTTCATAAAGCTTTTTCTGTTTCCTGGAACCAGTATACCATCTCTCACTGCTCTGTGAATTCACAATTTACTCAAAGAAAACCGAAGCACAGATGCTAAAATAACTGGATCCAGACTCAGACAGATTTGAACTTCATGAGTCCTGGATATAACACACATACACAGTGTTATACTTTAATGACTCTGGCTTAATTTTTTTCATGAGCAAGTATGGAAATAAAGAAATTTCATGAACAAGACAGGGCAGAGGAAGAGAAATAGTAACAATGAACACTATTCAATTTGTTATAATGTGAAAAATAATTGGGTATAATAGCTGAAAATAAATGATAGGTATCATTAGCCACTTTTGAGTTCTAAATCATAATAGTATACTTGGATTTTGTACCAGCCATAGAAGACAGCATGACTGAGCAGAGAAATTAAGACCTGACCCAATTCAAATAGTTCTGAACTTTAATAAATCTGAATGTGACAGTTATTAAGTAAGCAACCCAAATACAATGTACTACTTCAAATTAAGAATAGAGTTCTAATATTCCTAACAATACAAACTGTAGAAACTGTGCCACAGATCTAACTTCCAATTCATTATTTACAAAGGTAAAATAATATATTAAAATAAGAGAGCTTAGTTAACAGCTGCTTAACAGCACCTGGTACTCACCAGATCGGAAGTGCTTAGTAATTCTACACTTGCCCTCGTCAGTCTGTGTGTTTGGCATATACCAAGAGCATAATTTAAGTCTAGCTGAAACACAACTTTTTTTTTTGGAGACAGGGTCTTGCTATGTAGTTTGGTCTACCCTGACCGAACACAAAGTAGCTTAGACTGGCCTCAAACTCACGGCAATCCTCCTACCTCATATGTAATCCCTCCAAATGCTGGGGTTTCGAGCATGTGCCACAATGCCCAGCTTGCTCTTGGTTTCTATGTAGTCTTTCCATTTGTGAAATGGTCCCAAGTTGAACAACTGTCTGTAATTCTTTCCATGTGATAGAACTAAGAGTACAGAATGACTGTCCTTATTTTGTATAAAACAGAGACAGACATGTTTTTCAAGAAAAGAATGGTAACCAGGTGTACTATATGGTGAGTTCAAGCCCAGGCTGAACTACATGCTAACACTTTATCTTTAAAAAATAAAAAACAGGGCCAGGGAGATAGCTGAGTGGCATAAGCGCCTACCTAGCAAACACAAGGTCCCAAGTTCCATCCTTGGTAATGCAAAAAAGTAATTTAAAAAATGACTTCATCAAGTTAAGCAAAAGTCTACATGACACCACCTAAATGTATACCAGCCTGAAAAGGGAACAAAACAAAAACATCTGAGAGTATATTTAAAAGTCCTAAATTCTACTGAAATATATACTCAATTCTACTGAAATATATACTCAAAAGTGAAATAAAATCTAGATGTGGTGGCATACACCTGTAATCCTAGCACTCAAGAAGCTGAGGCAAAAGGACTGCCATGAGTCTGAAGCCAGCCTGGGCTACATAAGTGAGTTCAAGGCCAACCAGTACTACATAGCAAGACCCTGCTTCAACGCTCTGCGCCAAAAAATAAATTAATGCTATAAAGAAGCCAGGCATGGCAGCACACGCCTGTAGTCCCAGCACAATGACAGAGATAAAGCAAGACTACAAATTCCAACCTGACCTGGACTTTAGCAAGACGCTATCTCAAAATACAAAATAGCTGAGGATATAGCTCACTGCAAAAGCCCTAGTATCAAAAACATAAATAAATACATAAAAGGAAAGGAAATAGCTTTATGTACGTGTACAATTACAACTTCAGAAGTTTAAAAAATAACAAAGACATATTAAGGTATACTCAAAATCTACTAACTTACACAAAAAATGGACTACAGAGAACCAGACACCATTGAAGAATAACATAGTATCAATCACTAGATACTATGACTAGTTAACATGAACTCCAAGTTGGGCAAAAAAATTTAAGACAGGGTCTCCCTATGTAGTTCAGGGTGTCCTCGAACTCAGGGCACTCCTCCCACCTCAGCCTCCTGAGTGATGGGATTACAGGTGTGTGCACCACTATGCCTGGCCAAAAACAATTTTTAAGCCATAATATATAAGAAAAATTAAGTCATTTCCAAGAACTTTCAAACAGATTCCTGACAAAATGTATAAACTACCTGTAAACAATTAAAATGAAAAGTTAAAAATGACCTTCAGAAAACTGGTGTGGACTGTCTTTCAACAAAAGATAAAAAAGATTTTGGCAAAGAAAATCAATTTGTCAGTACTTTCCTACTATTCTTATCCATTTATCACATTGACTTAGAATAGAAGGCAGGAGAACTAAATCTGCATCTTCCATTTACACAGTTACAGTCAATGTGATCTTCAAGCCTATTAATACAGTATCCTAATCAAGCAATCTTCTTCACCTTTCAAAGCCAGTTTCTAAGCCAGTCACCGACATACTCCGGCCATAGTGGCACTGCTGTGCACAATAACAGTTACCACTGAAGTTTTATCTCACTGATCACTACATATCCTGACAATGCCGAGAACACTTTACTATAACTGCTGAAAGTTCTGCTCCCCGGGGCCTGGCCCTAGCTCAGGCCTTTAAGTGGCTGCTTCCACAAAGCTGTCAGCCTCAGGTTGCTGGAGTTCGAACCTCACACATTTCCAGCTGGCCAAAAGTGCCCTGAAGGCATTCGAGGAACCAAAAAAAAAAAAAAAAAAAGCCTTATTGAAAGTTCTGCTCCCATTAGTCCTTCATTTGTTCCACAAATAGACAATGCAAGGCACTGTGCTGTATTATGTGAATCAACAAGGTAGGGGCCAGCCCAATAGCTCAGCAGATTAAAGTGCCTGCAAGCTGGCACAGGGGCTAGGGTTCTATCGCAGGCCTCCCACCCTGGGTGCACTGAGACAGCAATTGAGACTGGGCGTGGTGGTGTGCACCTGTAATCCCAGCTCTTGGGAGGCTGTAATCAAGAGAATCACTATGAGTCCAATCTACACAGTGAGACCCTGTACACCCTGTTCTAAATACCAAAAAAAAAAAAAAAAAAAAAGATAGAGACTGTCAAAATACATATTCCCAGGCTTCTACTATAGGAATATTCCCCCGAAGACAAAAACATGACTTTCAAAATTTAGGAAGTTAAACCAACACAGCAAAAAATATATGTCATAAACTTCAAACAGTATTTAAAGCACTTTGTATACTATTTATCCAGCTTTTGGGGGGCTTAAATCATTGTTCCTTTCTTAACTACCAAAGTTATCTAGAAATCTGTACATTACATTCACTTCCTTGGTTACAGTCATATACACATGAAAACCATAGAACACATCACAAACTCAAGGCAAAAGATCCTCAAGCTTTTCTGTGCTTCACAAGGGCCAGACCACACTCACTTGGAATAGTTTTCTACAGCCTCATCTTTCTTCACATCTGTCTCATCTTCTGATTTTGTGCCTTTATTTGTTTCATCCAGCCAATCTGAGACATGTTTAAGAGCACACTCAACAGTAGATACCGTATTTTGAACAGCTTCGAGTTCCTCTGGAGATGGATAGATGGTTGAATGTTTCACCATAACATGGCGATCATCATTGGCAAAAGATCGAATAGATCTCTGTCAGAAGGAAAAAGAAGCAATTATTTCAATAACAGAAATGTCACATGACAATAATGACATACAAATATATTTTTTGTCAACCCATAACATTGTCATACCATTATGAAGCAGTTGGTAAAACAAAATTGCTCAGGAATGGGAACTAAAACACATCTTAATACCACAAAACCAAAAAAATCAATGGCTTTTCATTCACGTTTTGGTTAAGGTTCACTTAGATCATACTCAGCATTGTATATAAGCCATCTTTCAGCTGAAACTATGTGTCTGAATACTCCTTCAAAAGAGGCCTTCCAGGGCTAGGGAGAGAACTCAGCGGTCTAAGCACCTGCCTGGCAAGCACAAGGACCTGGGCTCGATACCCAGTATTGCATGCCATGTCGGGTGTGCTGTACCAGCCACCAGAACTAGGCATGGTGGTGCATGCCTATAATCCCAGCGCTGAGAAGGCTGAGATAGGAGGATCACTACAAGTCCAAGCTTCATAGGACAATAAAGAAATTTGTAATTAAAAAGAAAAAGAGGTCTTCCAGTGCTGGGAGTAGAGCTCAGTGGCATAACACTTGCCTAGCATGTGTGAGGTCCTGGGTCTGGGCCCAACAAAGAACAGAAAAGGAAAAGAGAAGAAACAAAGGGACAGAAGGAAGGAAGAAGTCATCCATATCACATGGTATCTGTAAGAAACACATATTTCTGGCTTGAGGGAACTCTCCAGAAATGCACGATGGTGAATCATGAAACCCAGCCATTCCCTTTCAAAGAACCAGACACTTCAGCATCTTAAAAATGAGACTGTGGGCCGGGGAGATGGCTCAGTAGAATAAGCAGTTGCCTGGCAAATGCAAGGTCCTGAGTACCACAGAGACAGAGACAGACACACAGAGACAGAGACAGAAACACAGAGACAGAGACAGAGAGAGACAGTGACGGAGAGAGACAGAGATAGAGACACAGAGAGAGAGAGACAGACAGACAGACTGCATAGCGAGTCAAAATACAAGATACGAAGTTATGTGTGAACTATCGGTAACAGAGAAATACTACTTGATACTTAACATTTAAGCCCTTGGTGTACAGCTTTATTTTTCAAGTAAAATAGCAAGAGACATCACAAATTCCAGAATGGGAAAAGCACATACAGCAAAACAATCAACTTCCCAAGCTAGTTTATACACACATACATATTTCATTCTGAATCAAAATCTCACCCAGAACTGCTGGGAGGGAACATACATCCTGGTAATCCCAGCAATCAGGAGGTAAAGCAGAAGCAATGCTATGATTTCAAGGCGAGCCTGGACTTCACAATGAGTTCAAGGCCAGCCTGGACTACCTCGCATGACCCTGTCTGAAACAAACCTCCTCAGAACTGAATTAAATGTCAAGCCATACAGTTATATGTAGAAGATGGGCAAGGCAATGATCCTGAGAATCTCTAGAAGATTTTTGAATCTAGCAGTTAACTGGAAAGATTCTCACCCTGACTAGTTATATATACTGATACCTGTGAACTAAGCAACTGCACTGGTAATCTGTAATAGTAGTTTCATGTTTGGAGTGCCTGTCATTCTGGTCTTCTGAATACGGGCTGTTTGTCATGACATGCCAGTTGCTGCTATGCCATCTCTCGGGTAGATGGTTGTTCAAAAAGAAGGGGGTGGTGAATGAAAGCAAGAGACAGGAAAAGGAATATTGTGGGACTGTCCTGCTTTAAGGTTGTATATGGTTAGTTTTTTGGACTTATGTGTAAACAAAGGAGTATATAATTCTTATGCCTATTTTTAAAATATATTCTAATTTTTAAATGTCTTTTCATCATATTCTGTAGGGACTTAAAGTTCAACATATCAATACTTGATGAAAAATACCTGGCTCCATGTTATGCCTAAGATATTCGATATTCAGACAGATAGTGAGGTTAAGCTTAACAGCCTAAGTTGTATGGTAATAACAATAAGCTTGTCTTCTGGTGGGTTAACAAGCTAAGTTTGCAGACCAAATTAGAGAAAAAGGAGGGCCGCAAGGAAAGCCAACTTTTTGGCCCTAGCCTTCTAAGGTCAATTAAGACTCAGGACATATGAGAACTTGTACTGTTATATCATGTAACTCGGTAGTGTCCCAAATTTTCTGATCAAGGAGATTATGGGGCCAAAGAGAAAGTGATCAATGATGTAGAGTGTGCCTAAGGAGAGTTACATGGAGAGAAAACATTCTCTCAGGCTTTCACAGAGAGCACACTGGCCAAGCAATGGCCGTGACTCATCCATATGGCTCACACAGACAAAGGTTCTACAATCTGAGGTACAGGATCTCAGGATAAATCCTGAGGGGATTTCACTGACCTTATCAGACCCAAAAGCTACAACTCTTGTTGCATAGGTCCTGCTTTACCTTGGTCTTAACCATCCAGCAGAAAAGTATAAAAACGAAATATAAGAAGTAAAGCCATGCTGTTATGTTGAGCTATAGGGGACTCAGGTTGACAATTTCTGACATTGCCAGTCAAACGGAAGACCCAATACTATAATGGGCTACTGGACTCTTTCAGAATATTTTACTGAGTTTACACACCTATAATATTCAAATAACAGAACTGAACAAAAAAAAGGGGATACGGATGAATGTCCATTTTGTATCTGTTTATTCAAGGTGGCTGGGATAGATATATAGTTACATTCTCTTAATGAATAGAAGGGATTTGTTCTAATGGTGTTTGTAAATAGAATATCATGTCTACATCTTGTACAGCAATTAACCACTGGGAAGAATGTATGCAATGTGTTGATTATTGAGGCTGTCCTACCAATTTGATTTGAAACCCTCCCATTGCTATTTGTTTCTCAATAAAATTATGAAAATAAAATAAAATAAAAATTAAAAAGAACTAAATTAAACTTCACCAAAATCATTTTGAAATTCATCAGGAAAAACAAAAATGAATGACAAAAATTAAGAAATACTCTACAAAGATAAATGAATTGTACCATTATACTGAAATACTATTCCAAATTCAGTGGAGTAGACTAATGTCCAGAAAGAGAATGAATTTCACAAAACGTATCAGAGTAGATCCTTCACACTCATGGCTCACACCTCTAAAACTTTTTCCTATTTCCATGTATACAAATATCATGAAGACATCTGCAATTAGTACACCAACTTGCAAAAGGGCAAGTTGGTGCATTTTCCATAAAACCCAAAGTATTCCATTTAAAGAGCAGTGGTAGGGGCTGGTGAGATGGCTCAGTGGTCTAAAGCACCTACTTAGAACAGGGACCACGGTTCAATCCCCCAGTACCACATGCCAGCCAACCCCGCCCCCTGGTGGGCTGAGCTGGCCACACACACACACACACACACACACACACACACAAATAAATAAATAATTTTAAAAATAAAAATAAATAAAGAGCAGTGGTAGTTATCTTTACTTATCTACAATTATGCACTAATAGATAAGATTTTGCTTTGAAGTTTTCACCATAAAATAAAACATTCAGAGTTATTAATCCTGCCCATTGTTTTTTATCAAAGTTAAAAAAAACTGTACTTTGAAAACGAAGTAGTACGGCCGGGGAGATAGCTCAGTAGAATAAGTGCTTCCCTGGCAAGCGCAAGGACATGAGTTCAATCCCCGGTGGGGGGGAAGGGTGGGGAGGAGAGACCTGAAAATGAAGTAGTGGCACTGTAGTGTTACTGTCCACTATAATGTAAAGCAAACTATAAAAAATCCTTCTCAATAAAATCCAACTATCCAGATTTCTTTCTTGCTCAGCATCCAGACGAACTGTTCTAACCGGAGCCTTTTTCAACAAAGAACCTTTTTAAACTAAGTCATTAGATATACTTACATACCCCAGAACAAGTAACAAGAAGACAAAGAAGTTAGGGGCCAGAGAGATAGCTCAGTAGAATAAGCGCTTGCCTGGCAAGTGCAAGGGCCTGAGTTCATTCCCCAGTTCCGCAAAAAAAAAAAAAAAGTTGTATCATGAGTTTCATCTAAATAAAATTACATATTGCTGCATCACACAAATATTTGACAGAGAGAGGAAGCAAGGAGGAGGAAGGGATGAAAATTGAAGTAAGAAGCCAGCACATGCCTATAATCCCAGCACTTAGAAAACTGAGGCAGGAGGATTATTACCACAAGTTCTAGGACAGCCTGGGTAACATAAACTTCAAGGCCAGGCTGGTTTACATAGTAAAACCCTATCTCAAAAACTCAAAAAGGAAAAGGAAAAAAAATCCAAGGTTAAACCCCAAAATCTGAGAATCATGATGTAATGGTGAAAGTAAGAATTGACACAATGGTCTGTCCCAAAAAACTGGGGGATCCTATTTACACAAATAAGCTCCGAACAGATTCTTTCAAGTATTAAAAAAAAATCAATCAGAAGAATTCTCAAAATCAAATCTAAGAGTTAGGAAATAACAGGGAAAGAGGAAAATAGATCCAATTAACTATATTTAAAACTTCCTACTAGAAAATCTAAGCTAAATTTTAAAAGAATGAGAAAAGAAATTCTATCAACTATGAAAATAAATATAAAGCATTTCTTAAAATTGAACAACTATCAAGACTGTAAGAAGCAAACCACCTCAGGAGCCTGAGGGAGGAGAACCACCTTGAGTTTGAGGTCAGCTTGGGCTACACAGTGGGTTGAAGGTCAGCCTGAACTATACATGGCAAGACCTTGTCTCCCCTTCCCCTCCAAAAATAAAAGCCCCAAAAGGAAAAAAAAAAAAAATTACATGGGACATGATATGGTTTGCCTATAGTTGTCCCCCTCAAAGGCTCATGCAGTCTTGGGCGGCTTCTGGAGTTTGTGATTATTGTGGGTGTGGATGCTGCACCTGCCCTGGGGCAGGTAATCTGCATTTCAATACAAGGAAACAAAAGCAGCTAGCCGCTTGAGCAGCTGCTACTCCTTGTGCTCTCTGCCAAGTGCTGCTCTGCCTCAAACCCTGCCAAGTATGACTGAAACCTCCAGTAACTGTGAGTTAAATAAACCTTTCCCTCCTTCATTTTGAGTGTTGGGAATTTGTCCCAGCAATGAGAGAAGAGTAACTGAGATAGGACACAACACAAGTCACAATGTATTTTTTCACATTTCTCCATGAAAAATGACAGGGAAATCCCCCCAAGTTCACACTTTTTCCCACTGCTCAGATCTAAAATATCAGAATTACTTCTCTAAGAAGAGCAAGTAAATACTGTTTCTTGGCTTAAGTATTTTTAAAAGAAAGTAGCACTTAAAGATACACCTACATCCATCAGAAATGCTAAACTTTACACATTATTAATAAATATTTTGTGCTTTTTTCCCCACTTGTCTTTTTAAAATTCTTTTAAACTCTTCATTATACTTAGAAAAATATACACAACATCCTCCAGATGCAAAATATTAAGGAGAACAAATCAACACATTTTATCAATTCCAAATTTTACCAATTCCTAACATCATAAATCCAAGTCTGAATTCTCATCAAATAGCAAACTTGTCTTTGATATTTAGCTCAGCATCCCCTGTATATACATTTGACTGTGCTATTTTAAAGAGTGACTTTTTGAAAACTTACCTTATAAACTCATACACCATTCATATAACAATCAAAAGACTGGTTCAGGATTTTTAATTTCATGGGGAAAAAACCTGAACTTCAGGTAGAATACTAATAAAAATTAATTTCAAATTCAAGGTCACCTAGCTACCTGTATTGGTTTGTTAATATCATTTTTTATTAGAAAACATTATTTATGAGCATTCCCTCCTTAGTATTCAATAATTTATACCCTGCAGGGTCATGAGGCTCCATCTTGTGGCTTAAAGGGCTCAGTAATAATAAACCTGAGCTCATGTGCTAAAGTGCCATTTTTATCTGATAACACCATAGCCAAAAATTAACACTACTGTTTCTCACAGTGCTTCACTGTTGGTGCTCCTAATGTCTAACCACTGGAATCTTTCATATGTAGGAAATTAAGAAAATGTAAGTAGTAACCTACCATGGTTTTCTATAGTGTTTTAGCTTCTTTTTCCGATCCTTTCCTCTCTTTCTTGTCGTCTTCACTAGACACTGTTCTGTGTGACAGTACCTCCTCATAAGCCTGAGTCCCCTGACAGTCACTCAGCATCAAATACACCAAAGATGTTTGAGAACTTTTCTCTGGAATACACCTGTAAGAGAAGAGGAAAACTTTTCAAAATGCTTAATTACACTGAGTTTCATATCTGAGTGTGGAGGCTATAAATATGTCATTGACTTAAAAGAAACTGTACAGAGGAAAATCACTTCATTTCAAACATCCTTTGAAGGCCTGGGAGCAAGAAGGTTAAGTGATACGGCCAGAAAATCAGCTTTCTGCAGTTACAATGTGGCAACCAGCTAACTTGTACTCGAATACCACATAAAATAGCTGCTGCTGGTGGCAATAATGATGCAACTAACCAAGAGATTTTCAGTTTGAAACTGGTACAAAGCCAAACCTATGCAAAGATTCCACAGGTTAGGCACCTCAAAAATACAGCAGTGCCACTGGCTCTGTCATGATGTTTTTCCAACTGATACCAACATTAAACAGATCATATATATTGGCACAATGTTTGCCCTTCAATAACTTTTAGGTCTAAAATCCAAAATGCTTTCCTGGCTCTGCCTGCCCCAACTCCTAAGAGACCCAGCACATACCACTAGGCCAGAATCCTAGAATCTCACTAGATTCTGATTTTGCTACCTCTGGATGTCTCTCACCAAAATCCCACAGCTTATTTTTGCTCAGAACCCATAATCACCATTCTGCTACTGGCTTTAGTCACACCTTTATGAAATGGTATTTCATTCTAGACAAAGTAAATTCTGAGTATTAATGAAATTCTTGTGTTACAAGCCAACCTGTGTAAATAAACAAAGCCTGACATCAGAACAGAACACTCTCTACTGAAACAGATATCAGAGGAGGTAACTTACATGCCACATACCATGTAAAACCACAAAGAAAACACCCTCCTCTTTGTCTAAATATTTTTCCTTTAAATAAGGCAATTCTGGGGCCTGGGAGATGGCTCAGTACAATAAGCACTTCGCTGGCAAGCACAAGGGCCTGAGTACAATCTCCAGTTCCACAAAAAAATAAATAAATTAATAAATAAATAAAATAAAACAAATAAAAAAATAAGGCAAGTCCCGTAAAAGACCATCATCGTAACAGCCTCTTAATATTATAACTGTTCTCCTCAGAAACTTTTTTGTACTTTTGGACTACAAAAGTTGTGTTATATCTAACCCCCCTCAGTACTTCAAATGAGAAAACAGACCCACAACTATAGTCAAATGATACTCAGCTATTATTTAGATGCAAGCCATTTGTATCCTATAACCAACCTCCTAACTCTGGCTTAGTTCCCAAAGTAGGCTAGTGAAATTTATATAGACACACACACACACATACACACATCCCTGTACATGTGTAACTTTAAAAATGGACTATATGTATAGAATACTTCTGTACAACCAAGATAAAAACTTAACCATGATCCCATGGTTAGAGACATCTAAAATAATATTTTGTCACTAAAATAATACTTTCCATATAAAGTCTGTAGTATGTAGCCAAATGCTGTGGCACATGCCTGCAATCCCAGCTACTTGAGAGGCTAAAGCAGTAAAATCACAAGTTCAACCCAACCTGGGCAACTTAATGAGAATCTGCTTCAAAAATGCAATTTGAAAAAAAAAAAAAAGGCTGGGGTATAGCTCAGTAATAAAGCATTTGCCTAGCAAGTACAAAGCCCAGGGTTCAATCCCTAGTAGTGTATGCACACAGGCCATACTACACGGTCTCATCTCCCATTCCAAGTCAATTTCATTTTAAGAGATTCATTAAGTAATCAGGTATGAATCTAGCTGCTGAAAAGCAAAACAAACAAATTTCTTGGTAGTCATTTGAAACAAAAAGTCCACAAACTTTATAAAAGGGTGAAACCAATATTCCAACCACATTGAGGAAGCAGACTGAAGCCAGAAAAAGTTAGAACAATACTAAGAAAGTCTGATGTGGTGGAGAAATCACAATTACTAGAATCATTCAGCAGAGTGGCAACCCTGTGCATACATCAAGAACCTCTGTGACCACCACAGCAACCACTGAAGAACAGTAGCCATGGCCCTACGCTATCCCATGGCTGTGGGCCTCAACAAGGACCACAAGGTGACTAAGAACATGAGCAAACTGAGGTATGTTTCGCCTCACCAAACATACCAAGTTCATGCAGAACATATCCAGGAGATGTGCAGCTTCGCCCCTATGAGCAGGGCGCCATGGAACTGCTCAAGGTCTCCAAGGACAAACGTGCCCTCAAGTTAATCAAGAAAAGAGTGGGGACACACATCCATGCCAACAGGAAGTGTGAGGAGCTGAGCAACGTGCTGGCCACCATGAGGAAGGCAGTTGCCAAGAAGGACTGATCCCTTCTGGAACAAAGCTTTGCAGAAAGTTCAAAAAAAAAGAACCTCTGTGAACATCACAGTACAGTGGCATAGTGCAATGATCCACAACAGAAGCACAGCAGCTCAGAATCATAGTCTGTTGGGACTATAAAATGAACTTAAAAATCATTTGCCCAAATGCATCCTCAGTTTATAAACGAGAAAGAATCTCATATAAAGGTCATACATCTAAGCAGGGACAAGGCATGGTCTAGAACCTACATCCTAGACCAGTGATGGTGAACTTTTAAAACCAAATGTGAACCAAATTGCAACCTCAAAGTGCCAAGCACTGTGATTAAACCTGAATCCTGAGGTCTTAAGTTGAAAAAAAAAAACAACTCACACACTTGGTTCACTCGCTACTGCACATGGCCACAGGTTCACGACCCTTATCCTAAGCCAATACTTTTCCTCGCTATATTAAGCTGATTTAAAGAAAAAAAAAAAAAAAAACGAAAAAACTTTATAGCATCTGATATACTCTAAGCAGATAGAAAAAAACGGTAAACACTTCATAAAGTGTTTAAGTTTCTCAATTTTAAAAAATGGTCAAGTACTCAATGTGGTGATGCAAACCTGTAATTCTACCACTCAGGAGGCTGAGGCCATGAGTTCAAAGCCAGCTTGGACTTCATAAGCAGGCTCAAGGTCAGCCTGCAATACATAGCAAGACTTTGCTCCAAGAAAAGGGGAGAGGAAGTATTCTATTACTAATTAATAAACAACTCTTATGGAACTCAGATTTTGTACCAAGCACTGTCCTAGAAGTTTTTCATACATTTAACTCATTTAATATTCACAACAATCTCAATTACAATCTCCATTTAACTCATAAAGGAACCAAAGCATAGATAATACTCCCTAATTAATACTACCTAACTTAATCACAAAGAAAATAAAAAGTAGAGTCAAGTTAAATCCAGAGAATCTCCGCTAGTGTTATTTTGCCTACAAAGGCATTGACATTTACATTATGGGGCAAATTTTAACATTTTATTTCAAAAATAAACCTATAGGAATTATCAGTACTGTATACACAGACTTGGGGGTCAGGGGTCATTTCAAATGCCAGCTTTGCTGCTTATCTGAGTCTGAGTTTCCTCATCACTGTAATGGATGAATAGACTTTACTACAGAATAAGTGAGATGAGTTATGAAAAAATCTAATATCTAACACAAATACTGTTACACTTAATGCTTTCAGAAAAAAAAAAATCACACCTCTTACTTTCCTAGTGTTATATAAAAATAACACTTTTAACATAACAGCTATATATACATTTCTCTGAAAAAAATTGAGCTTGGAAATACATTTTTTTCTTTATTTGGTACAGGGTCTTGCTACACAGCTCAAACTCATAGTGATCTTCCTCTCTCAGGCTCCCCAGCACTGGGATTACAGGCGTGCACCACCACACCTGGTTTCAGGGCCTGCACTGCATGCGGGTACCAGGGATCAAACCCAGGACCTTGCATTTGCTAGGCAGGCATGTAGACCACCGAGGTACCTCCCTAGCCCTCCAAAATTAGTTTTATGCAATAAGTGTAATATATTTATATATTTATGCAAAGCTGCATATGATGTATGACATTTTTCTATTGAACATTTTTTCTATAAATATGCATTTTTAACGCAGTTTTAGGTCTACAGATATGCAGTGAAAATGTAGTTTTCCATATACGCCTTCTCACCACAGTTCCCTACTACTAACTAAAATTCATAATCTATGTAGGGTTTACAATTCATGCACCTTCTATGGGTTTTCAATGTTTTTAGAGGAATGCATTCACCACTAAAGTAGCTTATAGGGTAGTTTCATTGCCCTTTAAAGAATGTCCCTGGGGAGAGATAGCTCAGTAGAATAAGTGCTTGCCTGGCAAGTGCAAGGTCATGAGTTCAATCTCCAGTACCACAATAAATGAATGAATAAATAAATAAACAAATAATTTTAAAAGCCCCAATAATCCCATGGGGCCAGGGAGATAACTCAGTAGAATAAGCACTTGCCTGGCAAGTGCAAGGGCCTGAGTTCAATCCCTGGTTACACACACACACACACACACACACACAAAAAAAAGAATGTTTCTGTGTTCCACCTCTTCAGCAACCATCCCTACGCCTCTCCAGACCCCTGGCAACCACTATTCTTTTTACAGACTACCTTTCCTTTTTCAAGAATGTCACTTAGCTGAAAGTATACAATATATAGCCATCTGAGACTACCTTCTTTCACTTCAACAATATGCATTTAAGGTCTTTCTATAATTTGATAGCTCATTTTTTTTATTACTGAATAATAATGCTGCTGTACGGGTACAGCACAATTTACTCATTCACCTACTCAACATATTTATAGATTCCAAGTATGGACAATATAAAGTTGCTAGAAATAGTTACTGTAGGGTTGGGGTAGGGTGGGCTGGGTTTGAGAGAGCGTTGTAATTTAGGCTGGCCTTGTGTAGCCTGGGTTGATCTTAACTCACAGTAATTCTCTGTCTCAGTCTTTAAGTGCCAGGATTGCAGACAGGCTCCACCACACCCAGCCTTGTAGGAAGTTTTGTGTGGACAAACGTTTTCAACTCTTAAGGAGTATGACTGTTGAATCATGCATAAGAGTAAGTGTACTTTTTGAAAATGTATTTAGTACAGAGTATACAGGGCCTCACTACACAGATCGGGCTCATAGTGACCCTGTTTTCAGCCTCCCAAGGACTGGGGTTACAGGCGCATGCCACCAGGCCTAGTCTCCATTACTGTCTCAACACACCCAAAGGGTGGGACCAGCATGGCACTCCAGGGATCCAAGCCGGTCCCTGCAGCTGAGCTATCTGGCTGGCCCTTGTAAGTGTATTTTTGTAAGAAATTGCTAAAATATCTTAAGTGGCTGCACTATTCTACATTCCTACCAGTAACAAAAAAGAGAGCTTCTGTTTCTCCACATGCTTGCCAGCATTTGGTGATGTTTGTACGCTTGATTTTGGCCACTGTAACAGAGGTAGAATGGTGTTGTCTTAATTTGAAATTCTAATGACATGTATGTTGAGTATCTTGGCATATACTCACTTGCCATAGTGTGTTTGTGCCCATGTTTACCTATTTTTTTAACTGGGTTGTTTTCATATTGTTTAATATTAAGAAATCGAGTATAGACACAAATCCTTCATCAGACATGTGTTTTGCAAATGCTTTTGCCTGCATCTGCCACTGTCATTTTATCTTTTTAATATCTTTTAACAATGTCTTTCACAGACTTTTCTTTTTTTACTTTTGAGTATAAATTAGAATTAAAACAAAAAATTACAATACAGAATTTCACGTAACAAAGTAGTATGGATTTCACAGTATTTGTTGTAATATATACTGTTGTCTTCCAACAGTTATTCACTTTACCAGATATATGTATGTAAAATTGCAAGCAAAATAACAAGTTTTTAATTTTAATGAATTCCAATTATCATTTGGAATCAATTTTGGCATGGCCTGTGCTTTTGGAAGCATATTATTTTTTAAAAACTGATTCCTAAGGCCAAAAAGCCTTAAACAGCAGTACAAACCAAGGTTTTTAATGTACAAATATTAGACCCTTTCCTGAAGAATAAATCTCAAAACTAAAGAACCATGCATTCTATATTCAAGTCACAAATCTGCCTGATAATTGTAAGGTTATTTTACTGAAATATGAGAAAATATTTAAAATACTTTAAAAATTTCAAAGACGCTTAGGCAGATGCAGGGACCAGGGTCCCTGCAGTACAGTGCCAGCCCTGCCCCATGGGGCATGCTGAGCCACAGACTGAGACTGGACGAGATGGTGCGCACCTGTAATCCCAGCACCTGAGAGGCTGAGAAAATAGGAGGATCACTATGAGTCCAATCTGTGTGGTGAAACACTGTAGACCCTGTACTAAATACATTGAAAGAAGAAAGAAAGAAGGAGAGAGAGAGAGAGAGCGAGAGCGAGAGAGAGAGAGAGAGAGAGAGAGAGAGATAAAGACAGACAGACAGACAGACAGATTGATTTTGAAGAGACTGGGGATAGAGTTCAGTGGACAATTGCCTGTCTGGCAAGCACAAGGTGCTGAGTTCAATTTCCAGTGCCAAAACAATGAAAATAAATACAATTTCCAAAGACTGCCTTATAAACAGTTTAATGCTGAATTCAGTAAATTTACTCTCAAAATAGTAACTGAAAAGAAAACTTAAAATTTTACTAATACTGCTATAAGCTACCTCTTCAAAATTATCTATGAGGGCTGGGAAGATAGCTCCGTGGCATAAATGCCTGCCTGGCAAGAGTAAGGTCATGAGTTTGATCCCTGGAACAAAAAAAAGGTGAAGCTCAAAATGATTTATGGAAAAGTAAAACAATGAGATTCTAGTTCTCCATTAATTATTACAGAAAAACCACATGTCTATTAAAGATGGGGAACATAAAAATAGAGAAAGACGCCTCACTGGTACTCACTTTAAGGTAAATTCTGGGAGATGTATACATAAATACGTATTTGCTCATTAATTTTTCTGTACTTCATTTCATGCTTAATAGTATAGAACATACAAAAAAAATCAATCATCAACTCAACTCTGGAAGGTAAATTAAAGCAAATGCATATAAATTCAATACTCTCAAGTCCCTTCAAATAAAACTTTCTCTACATAGTGGCATTTAAGTTCTTGGGAAAGATTAATATGAAAAAATACTAATTTTAGTATTTTCCCCTGAAAATTTCCCTCATTTTTTTTGAACAAAAGAGGCACAAGAAGTAACATTAAACCTAGAAATATATAAATCATGTTAACAACAGCCAATATACAAATCCTTGCTTAGTCCAAAAATTCAGCTACCATCCTTATCATTGCCCCCAACAAAAAAATCCTACATGATGCAAAAGCTTTGATGCCATCATGTAGCTGGAGACTTTGTAATACTGAGCAGAGGCCAAAAGATCCCTTCTGAATTAATAGTATGAACTGGATGGGGCCGGGAGATGGCTCGGTAGAGTAAGTGCTTGCCCGGCAAGCACAAGGACCCGAGTTCAATCCCTGGTTCTGCAATAATAACAATAACAACAACAGTAATAATGAAATCAGAGCAAATATAAAAATAATTAAATTAAATACTATGCAAGAAGGTGTGAAAGCCTGGAAAAGAAAGTGGGTGACAACCTAAGCATACACAGGAAATTCCAGAAACCCAATGGCCACAGTGGCACCTAAGTGCAGATTTGACAGGATGAGCTCGCAGGAGAATGAGCGAACACAGCAGCCCTGAGGAAGAGGAAGCTAACAAAGGAGCCAAATTTGGCTGGAGAGGAGACAGGGATAAGAATTCAGGTGGCACAGACATGTGGGAGGAGGCCAGATCACACAGGGCAGAGTACACAAGCATCTTTTTTTTTTTTTTTTTCGGATCCAGGGATTGAACTCAGGCCCTTGCGCTTGCCAGGGAAGCGCTTATTCCACTGAGCCATCTCCCCAGCCATCATCTTCTTTTAAAGCCCAGACAATAAACACTGCAGGCCTTCCAGGCCATAAGGCCTCTACTACTTAACCAGCATCTCTGTGGAACAAATGCAGCCAGAGAGGTTGTCTGAGTTTCAACAAGAACAGCTGTATTTCAATAAAATTTTATTTGCAGGCACTAAAATTTCAATTTTATATAATTTTTGCATAACAAAAAACACAATGCTTTATTTCTCTGACTATTAAGTTTTTAAAAGCTATTTGTGGGGATGGTGAGATGGCTCAGTGGTCTAAAGCACCTACTTAGAACAAGCTTAGCAAAGCACAAGGACTGCGGTTCAATCCCCCAGCACCACATGCCAGCCAGCCCTGCCCCCTGGGGGGCTGAGCTGGCCACACACACACACACACACAAAATAAAATAAAATAAAATAAAATAAGCTATTTGTAGCCCACTGTTCATACAAAAACATGCAGTGCACCTAAGACCAGTACTTGCCTATAATTCCCCCTGCGAGGGAAGCTGAGACAGGAGGATCATTAAGCTCAATGACAGCATAGGCAACTCAGGGATGACCTTTCTCAAAATAAAAAACAAAAACGTCTGGAAATATAGCTTAGTGGTAGAATACTACTGGGTTCAACCCCAAGTACCAGGAAAAAAACCTAAAACATGCAGTGAGGTAAATTTGGGTTAAAGATAAACAGAGATAAACAGGTCAACTCCTTTTTTTTTTTTTTTTTTTTTTTTTTATTTTTAGGGAAGGGTCTATATTTATTGAGGGAAAGTAAGTTCCTGTCCGAGAGAGGGACAGGAGGGGGCCCGAGCAGGTAATTCCCCGATAGGTCAACTCCTAGTACAGGCAACTTCTGATCACTTTAAGGACTACTACTTTTTCATTGAGATGGGAAGCCCCTACAATTCTGAACAAGAAAAATAGTAAGACTCCTATATTTAAAAATATTACTATGATAGGCTGGGCATGGTACTATAACCTGTAATCCCTGCACTCAAGAGGATGAGGCAGGATTACTGTAACTTCGAGGCCAGCCTAGGATACAAAGTGAGGTAAAAACCAGCCTGAACTGCACAGTGAAACCCTGTCTCGAAATATATATATTTTACTTGCTACCTATGATGGTATACATTGTGGAGGTTATGAGTGGAAAAGAGGAGAACATTTAGGAAGCTCAGTGCTCAGACTAGAGATGTATAGTACCCCTCAGATCCGTAAGGGGCACATTCTATGAACCCATACCAAAATTCACAGAGAAGAGACATTACATCTGGTCCCTCACCCCATCTTCTCTAGCACTGCTGTTACCCTGGCTCTGCTCTCTGGCTGCCAATAGATTGCTCTGCCATGGCTTCCTGCCGTGATGCTCCTGCTCTGGAACCAGCTCATCAGGGACTAGGACTTCCAACTCAAACCTCTCACCTTAAATAAAAAAAATCAAACTTCCGGGCCAGGGAGATAAACTCAGCAGCATAAGCACCTGTCTGGCAAGCCCAAGGTCCTAAATTCCATCCCCCAGTACAAAAAAAAAAAAAAAAAAAAAAAATCCACTTCTTTAAGTGTTGAGTATTTTGTCAAACAACAGGGAATTTTTTCGCAACGGGTTTGCCGCGAGAGCACAGGCGTAGTGAAGGCCACCAC